TGTGTGTAAATTCAACTTGGTGATAATTTTATGTTGATCGTTTGAGATATAGCAGTTAAATGCGTAATAGGAAATGACCAATTAAGGTCAAATAAAAACAAATGACAAAAATAGGAAAAAGGAAGTATAAATTAATCTAATTTTGAAGAACAAAGATTGTATGACTCACTTAAGTAAATTTGGATCAGTTTATATTTGATACTTGACAATAAAATTTGATATTGATATCCTGAGCGATTATCGAATACTTAAGTATACCGGAAGATGATTAAATAGGAATAAATAAAAATAAAAAATAGGATAAAAGAAAATGAAAAAAATATGATAATATTTTATATTCAAAATTATTTTACATAAAATTTATGTTTAGTTTAATTATTGTAAAATATTATATCGTGTATCTATGATATTATGGACTATTTTGACTATAGATATACCATCTATTGATATGTAGTCAAATGTGTTATTTGGACATTAACTCAAGATGCAAATTGAAAATAGAAATTCACTATTTATATATTAGAATTTGGCGACTTCAACGCCCGATAAAGTATTCGCTTCAGCCAATATATCTTCCAAGATAAAAAAATTGATTTAATTTTCTTTATGTTTATTTCTTCAGTTTAGAGGATTTTAATTTAACCTAAACTACATAGAACTGATTAGCTTTTTGCAAAATTACACAGAATTATAATAATAAATTACTTGAACTTGAATAACCAGAGTTAATCGATTATATTTGTAAAATTAAATTAAGAAATTGATTTTTCAGCTCACTATATTTATTATGCGATTGCATTCGGAAAGACGAAGAAAGAGAATACGAAAATTGTACCAACTACGAAAAGGACGACATTCGACAGACGTCCGAAACAGCATGAGAGGGCATTCGCTACGCTCTCTCGTGCCGCGATTTGTCCGCTCAATTTCACGGCCCTTTCGAGAAAAATGGGAAAATCTCCTCTCGGCCACGACAACGAGTGTGGGAAATAGACCGCGTTATTCTCCCGCGGTTGACTTTGCGACACGCCCATGGCGAACGCGCGGATTAAAACGTTCCTTTCAGTCTTACGCTCGACGATAACAAACGGTTTAATGCCAGCGAATAATCATAGGGGATTGTAGTTTAATTTAATTATAGTATATTTGAATTGATGAGAAAAATACATAATGCACGCATACGCATACGATGTATGGCATAAAATTAAATTAGTAACAGAAATAATGATGAAAAAAATTTTTCTCTTTATAGTCTTCAAGAAAACAATAATTTATTTATATCGGATTTATATTAGGTATTTTTACAATATTTCTTATATTTTTAAATAAGAATAACTGATACTGTTATGTATCTAACTGATGTATCTAATAATTGATACTTTTTTTAGAGATTAAATAACTACTGAAACTCTCATTTTTACAAAAAAAATATAATAAAAATTTCTTTCACACAAAGAAAAATAAAAGACGTGTATTAAAAAGGTCAAGAATTTAATTGGCCTAAAAAATAAAAATCGCAAGATTTTAAATGACAGTTTTATTATATTCTTCTCAAATAATAATAACTATGCTGTTACTGAATGATTTACGAGGAATTTAAATTAAATTAAATAAACGTTTTAATTGTCAAATATTAAAAACGTCATGTTAGAGAATTGAGTAAAAAGATTGTTACATTGGTTCCCTCTATTTTTGAGAGTGCTTTCGATCAATTAATCCATTCTTCGCCATGGCATGACGTAGTCAGCGCTGCAATCGCTCGGGGTCACCTTCCGGAGCGCGTCCGCGGCACAATTATTAGATTTCCGCCTCTCCCGGAAGCCGTCGGCTCGTTCTCATCGACCGCAAAAGACATGGTAACGTCGCCGTCCGCAGCCCGTCGTACGTTACCACGCTCTATAGGGGAGAGTCGCTCTTTCCGCGTCCTCCGGGTAGGCGTGGCGGCGTCGGGAGAGATGATTTATCCCTCGCGCGAGGCGCAGTAACTGCCGAGATCGCCGGCTAAACGACCGCGCCGGTCCTTTTCGTGTATTAACCGTAATGCACTCTGCCTTGCCATTGTGCACACTGTATACGATCCCGATCCCTTCCTCCGCTCCTCCGAGCCCCCTCAACAGCCCTTTTAACCATCACGCTCTTTCATTTCGTTCTATCTTTCGTCATCTTCCTCTACATTTTTTTATTAAGCATTTCTATTATTTATGGAAGATATTTCTGGTTCACAAAGAAAACAGAAGGATTATTTTATTATTTTTGGTTTATTCTATTTTTACTCTTTGGTCTTGATGCTAAAATTAATAAGGTAACAATATCCGATATGGATATTGTTACTTTATATTATCATTTCAGATATGATCATTTAGCATAGGCAATGTGTCGCATTGATCCAAAAATATAAATATTATTTATAAAAATTATGACAAAGCAATATAATTTTAATATAAAAAAACAGAATATATTTATCATTGTTTCCATTTATTCGTGTATCGGTCATGACTTTTGATAATTGTAATATTGTAAAATAATAATAAAAAAAGTAAAAACTGACTAAAATTAAAAATAAGAAAGCTTTGCAATAATTATTGTTTCACATTTTCAAAAAATAACATCACTGTGTTTTCAAAAAAATATGAAATATGATTATTGAATTTAATAGCTTCCTTTGACGTTACGTATATTCTTACTTACCTAGACAGAAGAGATCACCTGTCATCAATTATCTTGGTGAAAAAACTCGGCGCGTTCGTGTATTTCCACTATGCTTCCGCTTCAAAAGTCACGGCTGTCTCGAGTCAAAGGAGGCTAAATCGAATTAGCCGGGTGACACATTGACGTGTTTTGCATCGTACATCGTCCTACAGTTGCAGCGGCCGAACCCGACATATGGGGTCACGCCTACGAGGTGAACGAGGGGGTCCCCGATTTCGATCGTAGATCCCTTTTCGAGGCTCGGAGGCCCGCACGCGCCGTAGCCTGCGAAAATGCGCAATCCGCCGATTTGGGACGACGAGGTGATCCCGTGGGAGCAACCGATGACGATGAGTCGACCGGGGACGGCCGGCCCCTCGAGGGCCACGACGAAATTGTCAAAACAAGACAAACACGGGAGCCCCCGATTAGCGATCTGTGTCGATCGACGCAGAATTGAAAGTCAATAAATTATCTAAGAGTGGAATCTATTATTTAAAGTTACCCGTTACGTCGATAGTGCTCGCATTTTGAAAATATAACTCTTGAAATCTGATATCCTAGGTTAAAATTTATGCAACCCTTAACTTCCAAATATTCTCCCTTACATATCAAATTGCATCTCTAATTACAACCTGATTATTCTTAAAGCTTTCAAACTTTCTATAAACTTTAGATATATTTTAAGCTTTCTTTAGACTTTAAATATATTTTTTCAATTTTATTGCAACAATACAGTTCGTATAAGCTTTCCTTACTGTGTAAATATTTTTAGGTACCAGAGGTAAATATCGCTTTTCTAACGAGCCACCTCTCGTAGATCATAGTCACAGTTGTGCCGAGTGAGCATAAGGTATAGAAGGCAAACGATATATATTTCGGATTACAGTCGCACGTTTTATTACCGACACGATATTACAACGTATGCAAGTCTATAGCCCGACATTTTGTGCGCTTCCGCTTCATTGTAGCGTTTCGCCGATGTAATGCAGCTGCGATGATCGCACGGCTGATCGATATGTGATATCGCTGCCACGTAATAGTTGCTCGCCGAGCTGAAATCCACTGCTTAACGTAAACTATCTACAGCAAGCTATGGTGTTTATGCGAAGTTACTACCTACTACGTGTACGTGTATATTTACAAACTTCCAGGATTTGCTATTTACAGTGCGCGCTGTGGAGTCGGAACCTTTATTTTAAGAAAAGATCTGTGCGCTTGGCACAGAACTTCATCCCAAAGTGACGTATTTAGAAAGTATGGACCGATGCGGTAAGAAATAAATTGAGCAAAAAGGAAGATAATACATCTTGGAATGACCATTGAAGACGTAAAAAAATATTTAAGAGCAAGAAAAGAAACTTTAAGAAACTTTATACAATTATTGTTTGTGCGTCATAATCTAAATTTAATAAAAAAACAATCGTTATTTTTTGCCTCAACGAATACAATAGTCAGAATTATATAAGATAAAGAAAAAGCATGTGTTTATTTTTTATAACAATTCATATTTATCATAATCGATTTTAAATTTCTGATCGACATTATATACAATTCCATAACAAAGACTCGACTCCATATTACTATGCGCGCGTTCTACATCGATTATCAATGTATTTCTATCTGTTTCTTTTACATCCCACCATTGGACAATCAAGTTCATCATCCACGACGTTCACTACCTTCCAGAGGATCCGAGACCAGCCCGATGCGCTGGCACCGCGAAGGCTCTTAAACCACCTCCGACCCCGATCTCTACTCCCATGCCAGCGCCCAGAGGCGGTTGTACCTGGCCGGTTAAGTTTACCGAGGAATTCACCAACCCCAAGGTATCGCCCAATATCGACGACGCCGCTCCCGAGGATCCACCATCGCTCGAAGGTGGCGTTGGTCTCGCGCGCGGCGCCCTCGCGCACTTCTCCAGGTGATGATGGTGCGACCTGACCGCTAAACGGCTCACGTGCACCGGTATTGGCACTACAATCCTGGTACCAGAAGTGTGCTGACCCGTGGCACCATTGTGACGACCAGAAGCGCCGGAGGGCGTCATAGTTGCCGCCGCCGAACCGACGCCGACGCCTCCACCGCTCAGCCCAGCCTTCACCCGTTTCCACTTGGCACGTCGATTCTGGAACCAGATCTTCACCTATCGCCGATTTTAAAGTTATGTAAATTTTCTTGAGAAAGAAGAATTAAAAATTTTACGAGTGATTCGTATAACAAGTAAAGCAATTGAAATGCGTTAAAAAAATTAATTACCATTCATTAACATTGGATGTTCAATTTTCATTATTTCGTGAGTTCGACTAGTTCTTTGTTCAATATTTTTATAAATAAATTCTTTTTCGAGATCGCAAAGTTTGATCTCTCATTCAAGAACTGTATCATGTCACTTAGAATTAAGCTCTAATTATAGGTCTTTTGATTATTGCTGCTTTTTAGCACTAACCTGAACTTCCGACAGTTTTAACGCGTGCGCTATGTGCGAGCGTTCTGTTAGGCTCAGGTACTTTTTGGCGTGAAATTCGCGTTCCAGCTCGAGCAGCTGTTCCGAAGTGAACGCGGTACGTCGACGCCGAGCTTTGTTACCACCGGCACCTGACGTCGATGAGTTCTGTCCGTTCTCTAAGGGCCTGTTGGGACTTGAGGCGGTATTGCCGACGCCACTGACGACACCGTCGGAAGCGTCATGATTCTCACCAGAACCCGCAGCTCCAGCCTCTTCATCGCTGTCGGCTGAAGCACGACCGTTCTCGGACCCTGGGACACATGAACAACCATAAGGCAAAATGTCAAATATAATTTTTTCTATTAATTGTGCCAAAATTTAATTTGTATTTATTTTCATTTATTGTATTTATATATTTATTTATATTTATTATAATATAATTAACATAGAAAAATAAAAGAAAGTAGAGAACGTATATTTTACATATTGATATGATGTATTATAATATTAATTTGCATTTCTATTTTGTCAATAATTTAACTGTTCGTTAAAAACATAGGTACGAGTAAAAAATTTAACTGGCATCACAATTGAAATATTTCTTTTTTGTTCTAAAATTAAAATCTATATAAAGAATTAATGTATAGCATTATGTTAAAAATAATAACCGAATGAAGATGCATAATTCCGAGTATATAGGGATTCACGACTAACCCTTGCGACATTAAGTCATCAACGAAGTTTATCGCTATCGAGAGTAACGTCGCCGTGGTATGTATAGCCTGGCGGCTATTTAATATGCGGAGCAGATTGGTCGTTCCTTCATAAAAGTTGTGTTCTTCGATCGTCGGCAAACGTTTCCCCGTTTATAATTTCTCAGCGTTTTTTTCCCCCTTCATCCGCGAGACAGTCGAGCACGACATACAATATGCACCAAGATACGAAACAAAGTTACCGCGGAGTTTGATGACTCCGTCGGGTCATTATTTATTGAAAATTATTCCTACAACGCGTTTATGTAGCTTCACTCAAATGGCTCGGTGTTCGAATGATTCGACGATCGACTGGATGGGAACGGAAATTTGCGTCAACAAATGTCCGCGCGAGAAACTTTTACCGAAGATCATTTTTAGTATTGACATCCGAGATTCAGAGAACTTTTACATAAAAGAAAGTGAGCGGTAATTTTAAGCACATTTCGAATCAAAAATATCTCGGAAATTTCCAAAAGAGTTTCACTAAGTTTATTTTCTGTGATCGTCCCGAAATCAGTAAATCAGTGAGTCAGAATGCTATTTATTTGTTCGAATATAAGGACTAATGTTGCTAGCGCATTAAAATAATAATTGCAAATTATGGACGTAGATCGCCTATCTGAAGAAATATCATAAAGTCCGTTCGAATTAAGACCATCCAATTGAACTTGATAAATATATAACACACGTTTCCCTTGGGAATAAAACAGATTTCTCTTCGCTCGGATTTTCTCGAGTCGACAACCGAGTCGAGTCCGTACAACTTTTTCCACCGCGTGGTCAGGTCGCATAATCAAGAATCGGTCAGTATTTGCGGACGCATTAGACGCATTTCCTGCTAAAGTTCGTTGTCAACGGTCAACTCGGCTATGGTCAGCCTGACTTATTCATCGTCCGCGATGATTCGCATCTTTCTTATCCCGAAGTTCGCGGACCGACCGATCGCGCGCTTATGGCAACTTTCCACCACGCCAGTTTGATGCACTCTCCAGCCGTTGACTTATTCAGAAGGTTTCGATTAAGCGAGCAAAACGCTTCCGCGAGCATACACGGGCGTTGTCCCCTGCCTACCGTCTTTACACTTTGCGACGGACTCGAGCGTTCGTCGATCGATGTCGTTACATCCTCGTTTAACGGGCCTCAGCACGGTGAAGCTTTTCAGACTATAGTTTTCTAGAGAATAAAGTTATTGGAGCGAGGCTATAACCCGAAACTTAAACACGACATTGGAATCGACACTTTCGTTCGCATGAAATTGGCAATTTGGCTCTTATAGTGCGAATAAAGACGATATAAGTTGGATAAACAAGCTTATGGTAGCCGCAAAAAGTAGTTTATTTACAGCGTTTATTTTTCAATTTAGAAAGAATTTAACATTGAAAAATGAAAAATATATAATGTTCGGGTAATTATAAATTTTAATTAATATAATATATAACTTAAATTCAAGCGTCAAAATTTTGATTTGTTTATTTAAATTTAAATATCGGATTAACTTTCGAGACAATATTGTAAACAGAATGTTAACTTATAATTCAGATGTGTAATTAAGACGATTTCCGCTAAATAATTTTATCAAATGTTTATCAAATCTCAAGAAAGGCAAAAGATATCTGTTGTGCTACTTGATAATTAGAGGAATAATAATATCGTTGAATTTAAAAAGTAGGATAATTTGATTAATCGATTAGGTTATAAATTTACCCACCAATTACACGAACACGCAACAGATTAATTGGGTCGCGGCATCTTTATCGATTTCAGCCCAAGAAAAGCTGCTATCTGTGTCCAAAGTAATATTAAAATATTATCGATTCGCCATGCATAATAATAATCGGCGAAAATAGTTAGCATGCTCCAGAGCTCATGTTTTATTTAACCACCAGGCAAATGGCAATTATTGAAAGCTGTCAATGATGAAGCAGCCGGAAATCAAATCATTTAACGATCTCCATTGCTGATTCACCAGTCGTTCATGTCTGATTAATTTTTGCAATCTATTCAATTCCACTGTTTCCATTCTATCAACTGCTTGCTCGTCAGCTGTTTCCGACATTTTCTTCTTATCCGAGGAAAGTGAGAGAGAGAGAGAGAGAGAGAGAGAGAGAGAGAGAGAGAGAGAGAGAGAGAGAGAGAGAGAGAGAGAGAGAGAGATTTGAATCTTCAATACATATAAAATATTCTTAAGTAATTAGAATTATGAAGCATCACATTTACTTAGATACGTATTTTTAACAGGTCTTACAGTTCTCAAATTCTAATATTCTTAAAATTTTTAAATCGAAAAGAACATAATAGCTCTTTAAGAATTCTTTAAAATTTTATCCGACAGAAACTTCTTCCCGATTCTCTGCAAGTTAATGATTTTTTAATTCTTATCATCTTACATACAGCTCTACTATGCTCTCATCTTTTATCTTTTCTAATTCAAAGTTTAGTTTAGACATATTAATTCAAGATTTCTCTGAATTGAGCCTCAGAGTATAAAAATCTGACAATAAATACGTAACAATGACATTATAGAAAAATGATTTTGCGATTTTCTATAGCATCTCGCGTAATGATGCTGGCTCTGGATCGATCGGCGGAATCGTGCCAATCTCGGTATCGTTGTTACTAAAAAGACACTCTCTTTTTTTCGCGACAAGTACGATGCGGTCCTTCACGGAGCAAGATGCGATCCTCCCATATCGTGTCGGACGCGCCACAGACTCTCCGTACTCGGGCAATGAATAACGAAAATTCACCGTCCGAGGAAACTGCGGAAAAAGCGGAAAAAAAAACTTTCGAGGGGTTCGAGAATTATCGTTCTATTGCGAGCACGGGTAGTAAATAGCGGGGAATGATTACCTACTAGCTTTCATAAAGTGCAACCAAATGCACTTGTATTAAGTTCAATTGTGATCGCAGCGTTTGTATATTTTCATATTTAATCCAGACGTAATGCATTGCATATTGTAAATTAATTTTAGAAGGTTGATAATGAGGAGGATTGTAATAGATTTGAGAGACGCTGAATAATTCACGTACAAGTGTACCCTTTTTTTTGGAATAGACATTAAAAGATTCATGGAAAAAATGGTGAGAGATTGGATTCGAGATGCTTTATGATGCCGCATAAATGTATTTTCCCTCGCTAATTCTGCTTCAACTTGGGGGATAGGGTTTCAATAGCCACGTGCACTTTTCCCCAGCCGTGTGTGGGAAATACGTCCGGCTTATTAAGCGTTAAGAAGGCGGGCGAGATTCGCGACCTCGTTCCGGAATAATTTGCTCGATCGCGGCCCGATATAGCGCCCGGCGCGATCGATCGACGAACCTCGCCGGAAGCAATTATCGGGATCGGGCCGGAGGAAACGCTCATTCGCTGCTCGCGTATGACTTCGTGAGTGTATTTTTGGATATGCGACATGAAATTTCAATCGGGCTTATTAACGGGTCGCTCTGTCAGTTTGCGCTGCACGATGACGTTGCCGGGCGTCGCGACGATCGATATAGTGCCTATTCAACCACTTCTTCTCTCTTCCCCATGTATCGCATGTTGCGAATAAAATATTATATCTGCACTGTTATAGTTGTACATGTATCTACATTCTTGTAGTTTTTTCTTTCATTAAAGATCTTTTCGTAATAAAATGATTTCCCTCCGAAAGCTAAAGGTAACAATTTTTCAGAATGGAAGTTGAGTATAAAAAAATGTTAAAGAGAATTTTTTTCTTCAACATTTTCTTGCGTTTATTTGAATTCCATCGTTCTCAAAAGTTATTAAGTAAATTGTGATAGTAAATATATTTAATATATATTATAAATATATTAGATATTTATATCTATGTATGTGTCAAATTTTGTAATTAAAACAAAGTATATGTGTTAGGCATGAGATTAATTAAAAATACCCGATCAAATATATTTATACAATTTCCCTAGCGGAGGAACAATTAGCGAAACGTAAATATATTGGTAAATACAATTTTTCATCAATTACATAAAATTAGGAGGTTCTAAATATTATAATATAAATCCAATTATGAAAGAAAAGATTTTGCTATTTCGACAATTCTCAATACTATTTGATTACGTAACGATTATCGATATAATTCCTTCCTTTAATAATTGTTCTCCATGTAATTATGCTACAGTTAATTGCTATATATCGTCCGGTGGCAGTTATAGCCCAGGTTATACCGGTTGTATCGTTAATTCTGCAGAGCTGGCATTATAAATATCGCACGGTGCTCAACGTCGCGGCGGTGCTGTAGAATTGACGGCTTCCATTCACAGCGACGCGACAGCCACTTTGTTACACGTTTCTGACTCGAGAAGCCCCGTCCTTCATATAATCGTCTTCATCTCGGTCGTCGTCCCGGCTATGAATGACGAATGACATGAACTAAAAGATCCTTTCGTCTCGTACGCCAAATCGAAATATGATCCTTCCGCTCGTCCGACGTGCGATACGCTAATCGGCTTCTCGTCGCAGAATCGACAAGTGCGATTAAAATTCATGTGGCATTCGATGATTATATCTTTCCGTATGCTATTTGAACATCATCAAATTAGATTTCAATGTGGCGAAGGAAGTGAACGATTACAGCAATTGCTTCATAATTAGTTTGCACGAAATTACTTTTAAGATAATAACAATGATATATTTTACATCACTGTACATTATTTCAAAATGAAAATAAGCTATGAATGTTTTGCATGACTTAATTTAATATAATTTTACTGTGTAAATCTTGAAAAAAAAAATCAATATCACAAACATCAGTTTCAAATTATTATTACATTTTCTATTGTGAGATAAAGCCATTGTTGAAAATATCTGAATTATCTAAGCTAATGAAATGAATATTTTACAGTCGAAGAGATATATTTTTTTAGATTTTTAATTACAAAAATCTAAAAAAGATAAAAAAACTTCTTATTTTCATAACTTATATATATATATATATATATATATATATATATACTATATAAATAACATATTTAGTTGTTTAGTAACGTAATAGTACTTAGTTACATATCGTGTGACATTATTTAATTCATCATTTAAAAGTATCACTCTATCTATCGGCGAATCCATTAATTCAGAGATAAAACGAGATTTTATGAACGATCATTCAATTACTCGAAGCGACGGCAAATTGAATCGTTCTGCATTGCCGTGAATGGAACTTTAAATTTTACATAGGCACTCAAAAGCTTCGTTCGAATCTTCCACCATATCCAATTCATGTAACTAACTTTCCTGTTCTCATGATGAAAACGCCGTTAGCACACTTTCTATCGTGTCACATCTGGGCCATTGATTAATAATTTGCTTTTGAATATCGCAAGACTTGTTCTCATTTCGAAGTACTTAACCGTTACTAATCTAATCTTTAATATATTTATGCGCTGCTCGCGGCTTTGATATTTTTGTTCTCTTCTGTAATTAAATTTAAAGGGACACATTCACAGCTCTGAGAATTAAAGTAACACTTTAAAAATTTGATGTTTCTTTTAAATATGTTATTTACATTAACTATGAAAAATACGACTACGTGTATTTCACAAAGAAAACTTTATATATCTTTTAATTATATAAACTTAATTTTAATATTCTTAAAGGTATATTGTATAATTTCATTGCAAAATGTAATTAAAACTATTTATACATGATATATTACTCTCTAATTATTATTTTCGTTAATGAAAGAACTCGATATCTTTCAGTCTTCAGTTGAAAAAACTGATCAATCGAAAAATTCGGAGGTCCTAGACATTGCAAATGAAAGAGTTATTTTTGACTTCTAGTCATTGGATAATAGCTCTAGCGATCGATAAGATCTGAGCTTCGGCATTGTGTATTTATGACACATCGTCTCGATCGACGATTGCATTAAAATAACTGATCACTCGCAACTTGTGTAAAGATTCACCAATGATCAAGAATAAAACTGATCCCATTCAAAAATAGTCCGATGTATGGTTGATCCTGTTAAACAATATATTAACTCTGTTATTTGTAATATGTCGATTTATTTATGCGATGGATTATCTAGCAGCTTAACGGTCTGTCTGCGACAACTATTTAAAATTAAGTTATATTAGTTTATTTTACACAATCAATAGCAGTTTTACAAGCTATAAGTAATCTAGTCAAAAATTGCATAAACGCATACGAGAAAGATAAAGACAATCTTTCATATTAGGAAACTTAATTGAAATACATGATTACATTCGTTAAGAAAAAAAATTTTTAAACGTCACAAGACTTGACTTTTCAAAAAATGTTCTGTTTGATTTCATATAATTTAGTTCTTTGTTCTTCAAAATACTTGTATTATTTATTGCCTGAAAAGGACTAGAAGCTTCGAATCCTTGCATCTACACAAATCTAAGAGTTTCACGACTTTTATTTTTAAATTGACGATATATTTAAAGTTTTTTTTGTCTATTCAACATTTGCATCTACACCACTCGAGCTTAGAATCAGTTTTATAAATCCACGGCTCGTCTTTGGAAAGGTTGAAGAGCAAATTGAATCAAAGTCAATATTTCAGAGTCCCCAGACTTTTTCACTCTCTCTCTCTCTC